AATCAGGATTTTTTTTTTTTCATACCAAATTTTACGAAACAAAAAAAACTGCCGATGTTTATTTCGCAAATGCTACTTATGAAATGTAGCCTATAGCAAGTTGAATTAGAAAATAAAACTTTTTTGCCTCATATAAAATAGTGCTTACGGAAGTCGCTTTTGCGAAATGAGTTCTTTTGGCAAATGAGGTTTTGAAGTCCATAAAAAAATTTTGTTGGCCAAATGGATATAATTGTAAAAAATCAAATTTTTATATACCAAAATGTTTATAATAAAATTTTATTTTCAGTATTGCAACATGTACATTTTTAGGTTGTTTTTTTTAAAATAATGATAAAAAACAAATTTCTTTTGAAACAAAACTCTTTCGCATTGCAAGTTGCCAAACAGTTCTCAAAGGAAAAAAAACTAACGTATATTTAATTACGTTTTATGAATCAAATATGCATAATTAAGTAACTAATTAAAATACTAATTTTTTATATGATATTAATAAGTTTCAGTTTAAACTTTTTTTAAAAAATTAAGACTTTCATAAAATATATATTTAGAATGTCATTTAATGATTAAGAATTAAATAATGAAGAAAACTTGAACAACGTTAACATATGAATGCAACTGCGTATTCAGGAAACAATGCCTTTGTTGTTGAAATCAAAAAGACCTAATTTAAGTGATGAATGCTAAAACTTAATTATATAATAAAATGCCTAAAAAATAACTCTCACTTGTTTTCAAATAGAAAAATTTTATGTTTAGTGAGTTTCAATTTTTTTATTTTTGTGGTGCTCTGTTATATGCACTTTTGCTTTTATTACCTCTATAACAACAAGTAAATTTAAAAATTTTTTAAAGACATACTTTTCTAAAACGTTTTCTTTTATTTAAAAAAAAAAAAAAGTCAGGGTGGGATTGTGAAAAGGGCATTTGTTGCCCCTTTGTATCGTTAGCCCAAAGCTCATCAGGACTATACAAGCGCTGAAAGTTTCAGAGCTGTAGCTAGTCTGAAAGGTAGTGATAAATTTATTGCAAGATTCAGTAAGAACTGACCAAGCAACACTTAAAGTTCAATTAAACTTTGTAATGGAACCAAATATTTTATTAACTTTTTATTTATGAGAATATAAATAGTAAACCTCCATATGTATATATATATATATATATATATATATATATATATATATATATATATATATATATATATATATATATATATATATATATATATATATATATATATATATATATATATATATATATATAGATATAAAATTTATATATATATATATATATAATTTATATATATACCAGATATATATGTATAAACTATTGAAGAATCATTTAACAACATTATTTTATTTAAATAATAAATAATAACATTTTTTTGTATAACAGTTTAATGAATGCTTTCAAGACTATTCCATAAGCACATGTTCCAAAACGCTCCTACCGTAAGGAACTGTTTTGCAAGTATTTTTTCAAAATGATTTGTTTTGCAAGTTTCTTTGTAAAGGATTATTATGGAATTATTATTATCAATTTTTTTCATATAATGCGTTACAGAAGGAATTTAAATTTGCGGATGTACAACTTCTGCAATAGCAACTTGAAATAAAGAAGATAAAAATGCAAATACTTTATAAATAAGTTTTTGTTTGCAGCGAACAACCCTAGTAACTCCTTGGGGAAAGTAACTTTTTAAGTTCTTTTAAGAACTTAAGAAAGTAACTCCTTGGGGAGTTACTTTCTTAAGTTTATATGTCAAACATTGAATATGTTTTTCACAAATTTTTAAACTTAATATTATTTATATAATTTAATTTGTTTAAACGTTAAAAAAAGGTTTTCTTCAAACTACTCTACCTCTATATCCTTGTTCTCTAATTCAATTTCTGATTGTTTGAGGAGTCTCTGTGATGTTGTAATCTTTTTGAATTCTTAAAGCTAATTTGGCTGCCAAAACAAATCTGTTTTTTCTCATACTAATGATGATATTTCGATTAATTGTACTAGTGGTCTTGTGTTTTTGTCCTCTACTAGCCACACTAGCAATAGTTCCAATCAGATTATGCTTAATTATTGAGAAAACGATAACATACTTTTACACAAATAACATCAATGTTTTAAAATGGTTGTCTCAAAGTCTGGACTGGAATCCAATAGAAAACTTGTGGTATATTTTGGACAGAAAAATTGGTGACCGAGCATTTAGACGCAAAGGCAACTTGAAAGAAGCTATAATGAACGCATGGGATAATATATCAACAGAAGAGACCCAAAATATGGTCAACTCAATGCCAAATTGTCTAACTGAAGCCATCAAAGTTAAAGAAGCCCCCACTTGGTATTAATTTCCACGTAATTTGATCAATTTGAAATTATTTATTTGCAGTAAATTAAATGCACCATTAGATCAATTGTGTAAAATTCAATAGGTTTGAAAAGCAATTAATTCGCCAATACACAAATAAATTCTTAAAACAATACTTGATAAGGTTTCAAAAAAAAAATTTTAATTTAATTTTAATTAATTTTTTTTTTTAAGTGTACAATTATATTTTTTTGCATACTGTATATATAAACTACTTTAAAACATCAGATAATACAAATTTAACAAAATTATGACATTGAATCAGATAAAGCAAAAACACTTAAAGTAGAGGCTAAAAAATTAGTAGAAAAGTCTGTGAAGCCTTGGAGATACAAAAACATCATGTAAATATATTATATGCTGTTGATGCCGGTATGTTAGTATTAAGAGAATTCCTATTATCTGATGTTTGGAGAGTGGGGTATACTACAATGAAGCTTGATGATCCTTAAAAAAGGACATCAAGCAGAATTTAACATGTTCGTGTTTGAAAAATGCGTTATTGATTTAGTTGTTTTCTCAATTTGCTTGTGTATCAAAAAAGAAATCCATTTACACTAATGGCCACAAGTGAAAAATAAATGTATATTCAAAAGAATACTCTTAAAATAAAATTAACAATGATATATTAAGATTAAAAATAAATCAAATATACAATTCTTAATAATAATAAATTAATATACGCTGATTTGTTTTCTTTAAGCGCATTTTTTAAACGCGCTAATTATCGAAACTTGCAAAGAGCCATGGTCAAGTTGTTAAAGCAAAGAGCTATATGCGTGGTCATATAAAGCGTCCGATCGCATGCCTCTTACGAGAAGGCCTGATATACATATATATATATATATATATATATATATATATATATATATATATATATATATATATATATATATATATATATATATATATATATATATATATATATATATATATATATATATATATATATATATATTTATATATATATATATTTGGGTATTTCAAAAATACAATCTTTTTGATTTTCACATATAACATTTTAAAAACATAGAAATGGCATCACATATGAAACAGTTACAGGAATTCCAGCCCTTATAAACCCCTCAGTGTAAATCACAGCTGTAAAAAAAATTCCTATTTCATTTTTCTTAAAATCAGTCAGGCTGAAAATGTTGTGTAGGAGATAAACCTTCAGAAAGTATATACTCTTCACCATAAATCTAGCATGATGTACAGCCCAAGGGTTTCTTCACATGTACTTTTCATCACCAGACAACACCATTGTCAATTCTTAAATAGTTATTTAAATAAAAGCGGATTGTTAAGAAACTTTTTTTTACAGAGTATTCAGTATGCTCAAAACAATAAGGCTTTCTTAAACTGTTCCTGCAGCCAGCTATCAAAAATATCTTCAGTTATTACTTTTAACACAGCAGAATTTTGTCTTTAAAGTATTAACACAGAATTCTGGAAAATTACAAAGAAGAAAATTCACACATCTCTAAAACAAATATAAGAACAAAAGGTCAAGTAACAAAAAATCTGATTATATAAAGAAATCTTTTTTGAAAAACAAAACAATCATATAAACAACAAGTATTTTCCGAAACTAATTTTATTAATGGTTTTCAAATTTCCAACATTATAGCCATTTTATCAAACAGAATACAAATATAACCCAAAAATGCTTTCTTAATCTTCATTACACAAATAGCATAATAAATTATGCTTAACATTGTATTTATAATTCTTTCTACTAGGTCAAACATCAAAAAAGGTTTGGGAAAAAAAAATTGCTTACTAGGAACACTTTTCTCAGCTCATCAGAAAAAAAGACAAAAAAAAATATCTATATATCTATATATATATATATATATATCTATATATATATATATATATATATATATATATATATATATATATATATATATATATATATATATATATATATATGTTTGAGGTCGGCAAAAAGTTGCCGACCTCGTTTCTGTGTTTTATGGTAAAACTTTTGTTTTACCGTAAAAACACAGTAATGAGGTTTTATAAAATTTTTTTTTTTTTTTTTTTTGCCAAAAATTTTGTTATATAGATTGATAAAAAAAGTATAACATGGTGGGCAAACTCGAATTTAAAACAAAACTTGATTAAAAACTTCAAAAAAGTTAGTAATCAATTGAACATATTAACTTTGAATTAGTTAAAAATGGTACAACTCAATATTTAAATGTTAAAAAAGTTTAAAAAATTATTTTAAAAAAGCAAATTTGATCTACTAATCTTGAAACTTTCTCTAAATAATCAACCCAAAAAGTTTTATGTAATTCTGAGCTTATTAAGGGATCCATCTCACATTTGAAAAACATGAATTAGGCCCCGCCCCCTTCTTTTTTTTATGATTTAAATGATACTCTTATTTACTTTTTGACTTGCAGTATCTTTTCTATTATTAACTTTATTATTGTTTTCTATCTTAATACCTATTTTATGTTTGTTTACAATCTGTCAATGTTTTGTTTAATTTTTTTTTTTTTAAAGTTGATTGCATTTTTATGGTTTTTTAATGTGTTCTTGTAATTTTAATTGATGCTTTTTAAGTGCAAATTGTTATTATGGGTCTAATTAAGTTTTTATTTATTTTTATTTTAAGAAATGTCTGTATCTACTTATGGAGTTTCTGTTGTTGAAGCCACGATATTACCACCAGGGCTTATTGCAGCAGCTGTATCTAAGAAAACAAAACAGTTGTCTGCGGTGTTTGGCCTTCATTTTGAAATAATTGTTCCATCATACTACCTTGGCATAGATCAAAATTGTTGTGACATTGTAGCTGACTTAATTATTTATCTGCTTTTTATGGAAATATGATGGTTCAGTTATAAACACAACATTTGATGCTGATGTGTCAAACATGGGTCATGTGGCAGCTTTATGTGTCACAATCAATTGGGTAGAGCTTTTCTATGATGTGATTGTTGCTGTTATTTGGGTGTTATATTATCACATGTGTTAAAAGACCTCCAGAAGAGGTCTTTTAACACATGTGATAATTTAACACCCAAATAACAGCAACAATCATATCATAGAAAAAAAAAATGAAAAAATAGAGAGACTTCCTTGTATATCACATTTGAATGTCCTGGCGCATTTCACACAAGGGCAAAGTTAATTTACTTAAATTTACTGTTATTGATATTTTGCAATACCAGGAAACTTGCACCTTAGAATGATCTTATGTTTTACCAGTTAATGTTAAGAGTATGCGGATATCAAACCACAACAAATCTGTAATTAAAGCATTCAAAAATCAACTCAGGTACTTTGGTGACATAGATGATACCTCTTACTCAATGGAATGTTCAAGCAAATGATCATTGTGTTCTTGCTGACAGATTTATTTAAGTGAAGTCAAATAGTGTGTTGCTGTTGGTTTTCTTACACCACAGAGTTGTAAGCCACAAGTTTTAGGAAGATTTCTGACAGATGCAATAACAATATCACCAATACTAGAATATGTTGTTGTTGTTAATTAGACTATTAGATTAGAGTTTTTGATGCATGTTTTCACTGATTGGGTGAATCATCATTAAATAGATATATTATCAACTTAAATGAAATCTATTAATGTTGTCAATGATTACGCAGAGAAGGATGTTAAAACGAGTTCAGACTTTTGGTACCTTAACAAGTTGATGAAATGACTAATATTTGCTGCTATTCCTTAAAACAATATTTAGTATTTTTTATGATTATCTATTTTGTATGCAATATTGTAAACTGATGATATTGCTAAAAAAATAATATCTACAAGCTAGCTGTTAGTGTTGTATAATTAATTATGTAAATGATTATATTAAGTAGGTGCAAAATTTGGAAATAGCGTTTAAGTTTTAAAATGAAAAAATGGTGATGGACCCCTTAACTACTTTTAATTACTTTAAAAACTTTGTCGAATATTTTGTATTATAAATAGGGAAAAAGGGTACAATGGATAAAAATAAAATTTAACAATAATGGAGTGTTGGATTCACTTAATATATATATGTGTGTGTGTGTGTGTGTGTGTGTGTGTGTGTGTGTGTGTGTGTGTGTGTGCATATATATATATATATATATATATATATATATATATATATATATATATATATATATTATGTATGTATATATATATATATACATATATATATATATATATATATATATATATATATATATATATATATATATATATATATTTATATATATATATATAATATATATATAATATATATATATATATATATATATATATATATATATATATATATATATATATATATATATATATATACATAATATATATGTGTATATATATATGTATATATATATATATATATATATATATATACATATATATTATTAAAAATGCAAAAACAATCATAAATACATTTTAAAATAGGCATCAATTAGGTACCAGAATTAAGTTTTGAGCATGTTTTGTTGCCAAAAATCTAAATTGTTTATTGTTATTAAAATAATGGAGTACATTACAAAAATATGACAACGGATACTTTAATATATTAGCCCAATGTTCAAATAAATTATCAAGATATAAAATCCTTAAAACTGTATTGCAGTTTATTCATTGAGGGATAATCATTTTTACTAACAATGGCTTCATTGTCATTGTCATTCTCAACTGTTTCTCCTAAAAAAATCATCTTCTTCATCAATTTTATTTAATTTATAGATAGTCATACATGATTTTATATACTATATAGACTTCTTTAATCAGTCTCAAAACCATTGGACTTGTTTAATCAGTCTCAAAACCATTGGACTTGTTTAATCAGTCTCAAAACCATTGGACTTATTTAATCAGTCTCAAAACCATTGGACTTGTTTAATCAGTCTCAAAACCCTTGGGAAATTAGGATCATTTTATAATAACATGACACTTTGAAATTAATTTTGGACTTGGGATACATTCTAACATCTTTATTCATTGAGGGATAATCATTTTTACTAACAATGGCTTCATTGTCATTGTCATTCTCAACTGTTTCTCCTAAAAAAATCTTCATCAATTTTATTTAATTTATAGATAGTCATACATGATTTTGTATACTAGATACATTACTTAACTGGCTCGCCAGTGTTGATATAATGTTCCTCCAGCAGTGTTGAAGTATAATTTCACAATTCACAAGGCTTACATCTTGTCTGCCATAAAAGTCTGTTCCTTTTCGAACAGGTCTTTCTCTTCTCTTAGGTATTGTAAAAGTATTGTATTAAAGCAATTATTATAGTTACTTATTATTTATTACTTATTATTATTAAGTTGTATCTAAAACTAAGTAATTGTAGATATTTAGTAGTAATTTATTGTATTGTATTATTGTATTTTATATTATAATTTTATATTGTATTATTGTATTTTATATTATAATATTATTGTAATGTAAAGGTATTGTATTAAAGCAATTATGTGTAAATTTAAAATCTGCATCTTTTAATGTAAAATCAACATTAAACAAGTATTAAGCATTTTATGAAGAATATAAATATTTTTAATCTTTGAAATTCAACAATCTTTTTAGGTCTTTCATATAACTGTCAGTTAAAACTGGTAAACCCATGTTTTTGTCATAAATCTTGATATTAAATCAAAACCCAAGTAATTAGAGAGGACACTTAATTTTTTTCTTCAGGTTTTGACCCACTTTAATATATATATATATATATATATATATATATATATATATATATATATATATATATATATATATATATATATATATATATATATATATATATATATATATATATATATATATATATATATATATATATATATATCTTTTTTTTTTAAGAATTATAAAACTATAATGAACTTAACAACATTTGGTCAAGTGGTCTTGGGTCCTCCTGGTTCTGGTAAGTCTACATACTGTGCTGCAATAAAAAATTTTCTGACTGGCATAGGTCGAAAGGTGATTATTGTAAATCTTGATCCTGCTAATGATAATATGCCATTTGTCCCTGATATTTGCATTACTAGTTTAGTAACTTTATCTGATGTTATGGATTTATTGAAACTTGGACCAAATGGAGGCCTTGTGTACTGTATGGAGTTTTTAGAGAAAAATTTTGATGTCATTGAAAAAAAATTAAAAGAGTTTCAAGGTTGTTACATCATATTTGATTGTCCTGGCCAAGTAGAATTATTTACGCATCAAAATTCTATCAAAAATATCTTCCAAAGATTACAAAAACTTGATTTTAGGGTAAGCGTAAAAATATTTATAAGAAAGATTTTTTATTTTCTTGCTTTTTTATATGGTTATAAAAATAATCGTATAGATTTTTTATTATTGTTTTTGATAAGGATAATAATAATAAAAATAATATTTATTATTATTACTATTAATATTTTTATTATTATAAGTAGTATTAATAACAACAACAACCACAATAATAATTATTATAAAAGTAGTAGTAATCTAATAGTAATCCTAAATTTTCAACAAATTAAAAAAAAATAAAAAATAAATTTACTGATGGTTTAATTTTAATTATTAAATAGTTTCCATAATTATATAGTTCATTAGTTGAGCTGTATAATCATTCAGCTTTATTATATCTTATATCTTTATAACTATATATATCATATATCTTTATAACTATAGTTTAATTTAACTTGAAGCTTGAGTTTCTTAATCCTCTGCTAAACTTTCTTTTTTTTTTAGCTTGGTTTTGAAAGATGAAAAAATTTATAAATTTATTATTTTAACAATGACCTTAATTGCAATTGAAGTCCTTGTTCAAAAAATGATACAAGTTTACATTTACATTAATTTTTTTACTTCCTTTAACTAAAATGCGAAAATATAAATTATCTTTATTTATGTTAAATTTTACATTAAAATGTTTATTTTTGTTATATATGCTTTTATTACTATTATGTTATTATATGTTACTAATTGGCACTTATAAACTTTAGTTTAATACATTTAAATGTGTTTAGCCAAAAATAATGAGCCAATGTGAACCACATGGCTCATTATTTTTGGCTAAATTCTTAAGAACACTTTTTGTTTTCTTAAGAATTTTTATAAGAAATTTTTGTTGAGGACTGTTTATCAAGCTATAAAAATTATTTAGTTCTGTGCAAGGCCGATGTGAGGTAGGGGTGTGACACCTTTCCCCCACCCCCACCACCTTCTTTATTCCTCATTTGTCAAGGAATTTTTATACAATCATTCGGAAAATGGGATTTAGACTATTTATCTCTGGCCAACATTATGTGTAATTAGAAGACTTTTTTTTTTAGTCGCCAAAAACTGTAAAACACCTAATTACTCGTCATTTCTAGTTCTCTGTAAGAAAGAACAATTTAGCACTGCAGAATATTATTAATAAATATAACCAAAGCAACAAGACAAAAAAAAGTTTTAAAAGGAGGAAAGAAGAAAACAAGAGCTTAGAGATGATTAAATATTTAAGTTTTTTGAGGCCAACTGTAAATAACTAAATCTTAGAAGATATTTTTTTGTAATATTGTTTACCGTTTTTAATGTGTGTGAAGTCCAGTTTATAATATCAATACCATTCTTAATATTTTTTTTATTCACTCAGTAAACAATCTTTTTTCATTCACTCAGTAATAAATTTTAATAATCTTTTTCATTAACATAGTAGTGAAGCAATTTTATGTGAAATCATCTTATTTTTAAAAAAAATGCAAACTCAAGTCTCAGATTATGCTGATTTTTGCACCACTCAGATTTTTATAAGTTAATATTTCCAAAATTTTATTACCTAATTCTAAACAGTTTCAAAGTTATGACTATTTAAACTTTGTTGTCTTGAGCAGTTTAGTTAAAGTTGTTACAAAGAATTGGATCTTTTTTTTAATTCAAATTTATTTAAATTTATTACTTATAATACAGGGTTTATGAAAAGTCAAATGAAAAAAAAAGGTGGTAATCTTAAGCGCTTAATACACAAAAGTTGTTATTTAGTAATTTTCTAAAAATTTTCCCCCTGTTTATTAAATTTTACTCAGGAATTAGGAGTGACCAGTATGTTTTTTAATCATTTCTCTTCCTACAGCAAATACTCTAAATACATTTGAAAAAGATAGGACAAAATTCGAAATATCACCTCCTGAATTAGCAATAACGCTAACCACAACTGCAGTTATTGCCTAATTGGAAGTCCCTTGCCTATTGCTGTGAAAATTATTTTCTTTAAAATAAAAGATCTAAACAATCTAAATTTGTTTTTTAGGTAAAAAAACAAAGGTAGATTGTTTAGATCTGTTATGATATTCTGATGATTATTACATTATGGCTAAATTTTTTTCAGGCTCAATTTTATAAACTATAAAATGTCAAATTAAATAAATAAAAAAATGCTGTATCATATAAAATGTTTTGGCGCCTATAAAATAGTAAGTGAAAAGATAATGGTATGCAGAAAGTGATGGTAAATATCTTTTACCATCACTTTCTGATTAAATACTAATGTTTTTTATTTACCAATAATTGTCTCAATCAATTGTTGGCCACTGGTTAATAAAAAAACAACTGTTTATTATTCATTAAAAAAGTCAAAACTTGTTTAGAATAGTAATAAATAATTTATTATAGTAATACTATTTGCCATATCTGCCATATTTGGGGCAGATCTTCCAGTAAAGCCCTTTCTCTTTTAAACAAGGTGCAAAACGCATTGTAAACATAGTTGGACCTGTTCTTGCAGCTAACCTTCAACCATAATCGCATCGCCTTAATGTTGCATCTCTCTTTTCTACAAATACAATAATGGACACTGCTCTGGGCTAGCATCTTTTGTGCTATCTACTAAAGTTCATTCTTGTGTTACTCGTTATTCAATTAAATCTCATCCTTTTTCTGTGACTGTTCCTAAGTGCTCTAAAAATTCTTATTCATCTAGTTTTTTTCCTCAAACATCAGTTCTTTGGAATTCGTTTCCTTTATCTTGCTTTCCTGATTCATATAATTTGCAATCGTTATCTTGCTCTATAAATTCATCTTTTCACTTCCAGTAACTTCCAAATCTAATAATGGTTGCTTGCAGCCTTGTTGGAAGTAAAAATGTTGAGAAAAAAAATAGTTTAATAAAGTATTAAGAAACATTAAATAAAAAAAGTCAGTTTATGATTCTAAATTTCCTTATTAAATTTACCTACTAATGATGTACATTTGATAATTTTGACAATAGTTTTTATTTCTGTTTTATGAAAGATCACAATCCAATCATTGGATTGTGGTCTTTATATCATTGTGATACCTATAACTAAATTAATCAAGACAATTTTTTTTTTTTAATTAAGCCTGTAAATCTGCATTTTTATAATTCAATTCAACCTCGGTATAATTTTGATAAATTTTGAAATTTAAGATACAGTTTCTTTGTTTATAACTAGTAAAATTTAATAAACAAGCTGGGGGTCTTGATTAGCTCAGGATGAATGGAAAAATTTTATGAAAATTATTAGTCATCATCTTCTGCGTATTAAGAGTGTAGTTAAGAGTACCACCTTTTTTTCTTTGATTTTTCAAAGTAACAAATTTAAATTAGGGATTGCAATCCCACACACTTTTCAATTCCGCAGTTTTTTTAACTTATGTGCAGATCCCACGTGGGATTGGTAGGTTTCTTATGCACGTTATAAAAGGCAAAATGACAATTGTATTTTTCTTTCAAGTATTTCAGAAAAAATATACTCAACTTATTAAATTAATAAGTTAAATGAGTTAAATGAAGCCAAAAACACAATTCATTTGTAAATCAATATAATTCTTAACATTTAATAAACAAAAAGATAAAAATACGTAAAACATCTTTTAGCCTTACTTGTTTTTTAAAGTCTCAAATATGAGAAAATCATTGTAAGAAATGGGCTCTTAAGAAACAGACCCTACTTAAAGTATTGTCACATAATCTACTCCTCAAAGGACTGCATATATAGCCAGCAGCTGAAAAATGAAGTTTTTTTTTATTTTTTTGAGTTATTGTAGCCCTGGGTTCATATTTTGTCTACCTGAATTGACTAATCGAAAAATGATTGATGTCTTAAGTTATGGGAATTAATGACTTTAATTCATTGAACTACATAATGGTGTTTTAAATCTTAAAAATTGATTTTTCGAAACAGCAAATGTGCTAAATACGCACACCAAATGATTTTTTTTTAATCAAGTCGTTCGCTGCATTAAATCTGACAAAGTCGTTTTGTTCAGAAGTTGTAAAAAGTATACATTATGACCATCACAGTTAAACCATCAGTAGAGTTAATTTTTGAAAAAAGTATAAGACTTAATGCTGTAACTTTTACATACTAAATTATATGATATTAGTTCAATAATAGGAGAATAATAGTTTAAGTTAAAAAGATTTTTTTTTATTAAATGCTGAAGTATTACATACATTAAATATACACCAATATTTTTATTTGATATGTTTTATATGAAATGACTTTTTTTTGAAAAGTTTATTAAGTTATTTTGATTCCTATATTATATACAAAAAGTTTGAGTTATTCGAAGAAATTTATGGAAAAAAGATGAAAATATGGTTCAACTTACTAAAGTTCGAGTTAACTGAGATTTAATTTTTTTTTCTTTTAATTCTGTTTTACTCTCAACAAAGCTTCAAGTAACCACTATTATGTTGGGAGTTACTAGAAGAAAAAAAAAGATAATAGAGTTGTAAAGCAAGGAAACAGTTGTCAGAACACTTGAAGAGTTGTAAGTTGTATGAGTCAGGAAAACATGAAGATGGGAGAGAGTTTGGAACTTGTCTATTAGAGAAAGAGCATCATTTGAAGAACCATGCCCAAATATGGCAACAGTATTTAGGAAAATGATGAACCCAATAATAAGAACCAATCTTAGCGGATGCTAATTTAGCAATTGATTGTATATATGGTTTTCATGAAAGATTAACAGTGAACAGTAAAAGAAGACATAATAAAGAGGACTCAGTAAGAGGGTTGCCATTGAGTCAGAAGAAGAAGTACACGATGAAAGATTTATAGAGATCATTGCATAGTCAGAACCACTTTAAGGAGAAAAAGGAGAAACTGAACACAAGGGTCAGAGAGAGGACATAAATCTAGGAGTTAAGGTAACTGATAAGGGTACCTGAGGGATCTGAGTAAAAGATTGAGAAATTATAGGCTTTAGTGCTAGCAGGGTTAATGGCGTTAGAGCCAAGCCATTCTTTGTGATAAGCATTAAAGTCACCAATAACAACAATATTGGCAGAGGGGTAAAGGGCATGATCAATATGATCAGAAGTTACATCTAAAAGAGTACAGTCTTGGAAAGAAGGAGAAAAATAAAAAGCAAAGAGAAATGAAAGGTGATAGAGTTAAGAAGTGTTAAGCAGAAGCATGTAAAATAATGGCCAAAGCGTTCAAACCTGATTTCACGACAAATAGGTGAATTGATGTGTATGTACAACTTCCAAGCCAAGCATTTAATTATTGGAATCTTTGCAAATCAAAGGATAGTACCCATCAACACTGAGATCTGGGAAAGGAGTAGCAAGTTCTAAATCTTGGGTTACTTGAGCATGGTCTCCTAAGCAATGAGCTATGGAGTTGTGTCAGTCCTTTTGATTAACCCAAGTTGTAACTTATGGCTCCTTATGTGGCCTTAACAATGTGCATCAAAACCATTTACAACGACACCATTTATGCGCAACATGGTTGTGTTAATACTCTGATATTTTATAGCTGTTGATGGAGTCAGCCTCTCTATCAGCTACCACAGAGTTTGGGAAACCTTACTACCAGCTAGTAGTAAAGTTTCCCAAACATCTTGGTAGTAATAAGAACCATTAAACTGAGTTTTAGAGCTGTACTATTTTTAGGAGATAAAAGAAAGAGTTACATAGCCACTATCAAGGTTCTGGGCTGGTCAGCAGAGTTTACTTAGTGGAAAATAATTGTACTGGGAATATACAGACATACATAAATACATACATACATACATACATACATACATACATACATACATACATACATACATACATACATACATACATACATACATATGTATGTATATATTATATTAGAATAATGATAATAATAAAGTATGATTAAATTTGTAACATTACTCAGAGTTTCACGCTTTATGCAATTATCAGACATTACAAACAACCATAAAAACAACAAAAATTATATACAAAAATGCAATATATATATATATAATATATATATATATATATATATATATATATATATATATATATATATATATATATAAATTTTATGTAATATAAAACCTACAACAACTTAGTAATTTTACATTTTTTTTATAATTAGCTCCAGCTTTACTTTATGTCGATTCTAATTACCTAAAATTATATATTAATAACCATTTTTTATTTTTATTTTTTATTTTTTTCAAAAAAAAATTAAAAAATCATAATAAAGTTTTTGTTAGTGGTTATTCAAATTAGGTTTTTAGAGGAATTATGAATTAAACAAAATATAAGTGATGAACTTCAAATTTTTATTTTATATCATATTAGTGTGATACTGTTGTATGTTTAATTAAAAGAAAGCTAATTTTTTAAATAATTTTTTCTAAATTTTTATAGCTTGCCGCAGTTCATTTAGTTGATTCACATTACTGTAATGATTCAGCAAAGTTTATCTCTGTGTTAATGACATCATTATCAACCATGTTACAAATTGAATTGCCACATATTAATGTTCTTTCGAAAATTGATCTTGTTGAAAAATATGGAAAATTAGGTGAGTTTTTTATTGCTTAATAAAGCCTATTAAGTACCTTTACTTATAAAATCAATTTTTAACTAAAAGAAAAAACATTAGATTAATAAAAAATAACCACAGCAAGTAACACACAGCTTAATTTAAAAGTTATAGACAAATGAATTGAAAGATTCCATTCAAAAGCAAACATAGACAAAACAAAAAAAAAAGAAAGTAACAAACAGATAAACAAAAAGATAAATTTAAAAATTCAAGTTTAATCAAAATTCATTTTGATTTAATTTTATATCAAATAAAAATTTTATATTAAAATTTTGATGTAAAAAGCCAGGTGTAGTTATATCTTAAAATTTTGTTTCATAAGGGTGTATTAAATATGTATTGGGTGTACTAAAAATGCTATAGAGAAATCATTAAAAAAAATTTATATATTTAATTCAAATTTTATTTTATTTTAATATAACAATGACAAAATGGTATTTTAAAATTACTAAAAGACCTTTTTTCTCCCACTTTGATTTACACTGACAAACTTCTCCCACTTTGAGAGAAAAAAGTTTGTCAAAACTTTTTTCTCGTAAAGTGGGAGAAAAAAGTTTTTTAGTAACTTCAAAATACCATTTCATCTTATTATTGTATGTAAATATATTTGAAGATGGTCTATATTTTTAATAAAGTAGAGCGATAACATTTTGCCTCATCTCGCCTCACCTTGATATCCCCACTTCATTTTGCCTCAAAATAATAAAAGTGGGGATGTCAAGGTGAGGCAAGATGAGATAATAAAAGTGGGGATGTCAAGGTGAGGCAAGATGAGGCAAAATGTTATCTCTTTACTTTATTAAAAATATAAACCATCTTCAAATATATTTACATACAATAATAAGATGATTATTGCCTCAAGCTTGCGGGTTTGTTTTTTATTAAAAAGTAATCTTCATTCATTAATAAATGGTTAAAATCAGCTAATTTTGCCTAATATTCTTTTGGGTTTGTTACTCTTTTTTTTCAATAATATATATTTTTTTATGAATAAAGTTTTTAATTTTTAAAATTACCTAAGACTGCTTGTGGGTTTGTATTTCTTTTTTAAATCTTTCAAAAAAAAATTTTTTTTTTTTTAAATTTCATTTAATTTTAATATATATTGGAACTTTTTGTAAAGACTAAAAAGTAGAAAATAAAATATGGCAAAAACATTTGCTAAAAACATAATCTAAAAAGTAGAAAATAAACTTTTTAATTTTAGCTTATTAGTTCTGTAAACTAAAGATTGACAGGTATGTTTCTAAATAAACATTGCGCAGACCTGTCAATCTTTAGTTTACGGAACTATTAAATTAAAATTAAAAAGTTTATTTTCTACTTTTTAGGACAAAAAGATGTTTTTAGCAAATGTTTTTGCTATATTTTATTTTCTTGTAACTCCTAACTTTAAACCAAGCATAACTCCTAATTTAAATAGTAATTGCTTCCTTGATGGAAGTGAATCAAAATGATAGTAAAAAAAAATATGCGATTGATGTAGTTTTTGATTTTATTTTTATAGCATTTTCTATGGATTACTTCACAGATGTCATGGACTTGAACTACTTGCTTGACATTGAAAATGATGATGTGTTTGTTAAGAAGTTTAGGAAATTGAATGAAGCAATGATCAGTATAATTCAAGATTACAGCTTAGTTTCATTTTCAGTTTTAAATGTCCAGGTTTTTTCAATTAATTTTTTGTTTTTCTAGGCATTAAAAGTTAACAGTTTATTTTCTACTTTTTAGTACAAAAACATCTTTTTGTACTAAAAAGTAGAAAATAAACTTTTTAATTTAATAGTTCCGTAAACTAAATATATATATATATATATATATATATATATATATATATATATATATATATATATATATATATATATATATATATATATTATATATAAGGCCTAAAATTATATCACTGTATATATCATTTATTAAAAAATAATTGCTGTGTGTTATAAAAAAAAGTTTAACTTACATTTTGTGCAAATTTTTGATGCAGCCTCAGAACATGTTTAACTTTGAGTAAAAAAAAATTTTTTATGAAGGAGAACCAAAAAAACAATTGCAATAAAAATGAGCTAATTTTTTTTAAGAATAAATAAAATTTAAATATTAAACAATATTTTGTAATATTTTAAAATAAATTTGATAGTTTAAGTTAAACCCAAGCATTACTTTTAATTTTAATAAACTTATATATGTTTTTAATCAAAATAAATTATATATTTTTTAAATCTAAGTTTAATAATTTTTTTTTAATCAAAATTAAATTATAATTAAAATATCTTTGCTTCAAGCTTAAAATATTAGCGTTTCACAAGCGAAATAATCAATCATTACAATAAAAAAAATTTGAATAAATAAAAAATGTAAAATAAAGATAAAATAAAATTTAATTTTTTTATTATTATTATTAATTTAATTTTTTATTATAAATAAATAATATAAGTAAATTTTTTTTATTGCAATAAAAAGTTGTATAAACATTCTTGTGCTCGCAAGATAATAAATAAAAAATTTTTTTTTTTTTGTTTTTATATAAAAAATATTGTCATTAACTATAAAAAATTTTATTTTCTGTTACTAAATATTTTGATAAAATAATTAGCTTAATAAAGATTAGGTTTTTGTAGTTTTTAATATTTTTTGAGCTTTTTTCATAAGCAAATAGCGTTTATATCTCACTGTTCTCCAAATTGACCGCGAGGTTGAAACTCTCCCCACTTTAAATTTTTTTGCATTTAATTAATCATATGCATTAGCAAACACAATTTAAGTTGTCAGAAAAATCTGAACTAAGTGCTAAGTATGTATATTTTTAAAGTTAAAACTTTTAATTTTTTTCTTTTTTTTTTCGTAAGTTTTATTTAAGTCAGCCATTATGGTAGTCAAATAAGCTATTTATGGCAATGATATAATTGAATTACGGACTTTTCAACATGGCGTCAGACTTCAAATTATGTACTTGTGCAGTTTGCTTGATAAATAAAGGTATCAGATCAAAATCTTTAACACCTATAACACCTTCAGTGCGCGAAAAAATTCAAGAATACATCTGGCCAAACTTCGATTCTGATTTTGAAATTTGTCCTTCTGAGTTTGTTCCAACTGCAGAAGAAACTTATTTTGTCTAAACAAAGGGGAGACTGCATATCTTTCCAACTGGTTAGAGACTATATCAAAGGTACTTTAATGTGGATGAATTGCTACTTTTTGTGTTTGTGTGGTTGTCTATATATATTATAAGTATACACACACACTCATATATATATATATATATATATATATATATATATATATATATATATATATATATATATATATATATATATATATATATATATATATATATATATATATATATATATATATATGTATATATATATATATATATATATATATATATTTGTATGTATGTATATATATATTTATGCATATATATATTTATATATATATATATATTTATATATATATATATATATATATATATATATATATATATATATATATAATAAAAATCATGTAATTTTTATGAATAAATATATTAGCACTGATTTAATTTATAAAGCACATTTGTGTTTTAGATAAATAGAAATACTATTAGGAGAACCTCTTCACTGCAATGTATCCAGACAGATGTTGAGCCAGAATTGAATTTTTCAAGTGTGAATAAGAAAATCTGTGGGCTCTGCTGTTTGAATCTTGGTATGTTAATACTATGATTTTATAATTTAAATAAGATTAATTGAAGTTTGATTCTCTTTATGTTACATTATAGTTTGATTCAATGTATTATTGTTTTTTACGTAATTTCAAGCTACTGTTAAAATAGTTTTTTAATTGCTCACTATTACTTTTAGGTAGAGGAATTTCTCATGATTGTTGCGAAAGTAAAGCTGTTAACAATATAATTGATATTAGTGAATCGCTTGGATATAAAGGTGCAGAGCAAGTAGCTTCTGGATTGTTAAAACGTAAAATGGAATGTGAAAACATTGTAAGTGGAGAGCAGTTCGTGTTGTCTACTGGTGGAAATCTTCTCTCTGTTACAGTTGGAGTAAATGAAAATAAGTCGAAAAGAAAGAAAGTAAATCAAGTTTCATTCCAAACTATTATGGAGTTATCGAATGTATTAGAACTCTCTAAGAACAAAACTAAAAAACTGTGTTCTACTTTACGCAGTAATCTAACTGGTGTAGAATCAAACATTAATATTAAAATGACTGAATTACAGGATACTCTAGAAACTTTATATAAATGTAAAACTGAAGAATTCCTTGATGGTGATGAAATAGTTGTTAGAGATATAGTTTATGTCAAGAATACAACTGAATTTATCAAATTTATAATTGATGAAAGAGGTATTGATACCCCTAATGCAATAGCAAGAATATCTATAGATGGTGGTCAAAACTTCCTTAAAGTTATTATCAATGTTTTTGATCCAAAAAATCATTATTTTTCAAAATGTATGAAGATTCTGGTGTGAAACGTTGAAAATCATTATTCTTCGAAATGTATGAAGATTCTGGTGTGAAACGTTGTTTTATCCTTGCAATTGTGGAGATGGTTTCAGAAGATAATGGCAATCTCCAAAAATTATTGGAACCTTTGAAACTCGAAGAAGTAGGTTTTAGTTTAGCATTTGATTTAAAATGTGCAAACAGTGTTTTTGGACTTTCAAGTCATTCTGGCAAATATGCTTGTCTTTATTGTGAAGGAGAATGCTCCCTCAAAGCAGGGAAACTAAGAACATTGGGTTCCATAGACTTATGTTATGATCAATATGTATGTGAAGGAAAAAAAAGACTAAAAATGCAGGATTACAAAAATGTTATAAATCCTCGTTTAATATACTTAAAAGAAAATCAAGAAACAATTCTTGAACACATTGTTCCTCCTCCTGAGCTCCATATTATGATGGGAGTTGTGGATAAACTTTGTACTATGCTTTTATGCGTTTGGCCACCTTTTCAAAATTGGTTAAAAACACATTACATATTAATGAGAGGATACCATAGAGTAGGGTTAGATGGAAACAATGCTAATAAATTTATGTCCTTGTTAGATGTTTTGGAGAGGGATGTTACCTTAACTGCAACGATTGATATTTTACCAATAATTAATTGTTTGCGTAAGTTTTCATTAGTAAAATCAGCAGTGTTTGGTTTAGAAATGGGTGCAGATATTTCTGCTAAAATCGAAGACTTCAAATGTTCTTTTTCCAATTCTTTTTCCAAAGTCTCCAATTATATGCAAAAGATATTTTTGACTATGATTTGAAAGTTTCCTGGAAAATACATATTTTAGTGTGTCATATTCTTCCCTTTATAGAACACAATAATATTAGCTTAGGAAACTATGCAGAACAATGTGGTGAAGCTGTTCACCGCAAATTTAAAAAAACTTGGGTGAAATATAAAAGAACTATAGGTCACAAAAATTATGGAAAAAAGCTAAAATCTGCTGTAGTTAATTTTAATTTAAATAATCAGTAGCATTAATATAATATGTGTTATATATTTATTTGTTATATGTGTTTTTTGTAAACGAAGTTAATAAATGTTGATGGTTTATTTTGACCACCATAATGGCTGACTTTAATCAAAAAGCGAAAAATTATAAGTTATAATTTTGAAAAATATGTACTTAGCACTTAGTTCAGATTTTTCTGACAACTTAAGTTGTGTTTACTAATGCATATGATTAATTAAATGCAAAAAAATCAGGAGTGGGGAGAGTTTTAACCTGGCGGTCAATTTGGTGAACAGTGATCTAATGTCTAATTGTCATTCAAATAGCATTCTAATTGTCATTCAAATATCTAGTATCTAATTGTCATTAAAGCTTTTGTAACAAACTTTTTTACATAAGCATCTTTCAAAAGTTAATGTGGTTTTTTATGAAATTAATTACTTTTTTTTATAGAATAATTTAAAAGTTAAAAACTGATAAAGTTATTTAATAAAAATTGCTTTGCGTAAAATTGCTTAACGCATACTTAAATTATTGGCTCCACAACAACTTGCTTTAAAACAAGGCCTGATATATATATATATATATATATATATATATATATATATATATATATATATATATATATATATATATATATATATATATATATATATATATATATATATACATATACCCTTTATTATAAAGCAGGAGAGATTGCTTCGTGTATGAAAACAAAATATTTAAAACAATTCTGGGCACAGTAAACAACCTAGTAATGAGATAATAAAATTGTGCTCGTCTCATGAGAAACTATTACTTATTTACTTGATAAATAAGTAATAGTTTTAATTAAATATTTTTAATAAAGTGTTATGTTGAAGACCAAAGCTGTTAAATTAAACAGTAAATTTTGCATATTGTTTTTGTCATTGTCATATAATGAATAGAAAGTTTCAATGAGTGGAAATGTAACATCATGCTAACAATAAAATTTAATCAAGAAATATTTAAAAACTTTTAATGTTCATTAATTAAGTTAACAGTGCAATGTCATTAAATTGTTTTTTCAAAACAAATATTACAAAACTTTAAAGTGCTTTAAAAATTGTATTATTTAAACAAAATGTTTTAACAAAATTGAATAAATTAGGAAGTTTTAAAAACTTTTTTTTCTGTAATATATAGTAATGTTTTATACTGTATTATATAGTTTTAAA